CGACGCTAGTGATAATCACGGAAGAGATGCTGCTAACAACAGGCTGCGTTATGTCTAACACTGAAGCTCAACCTCAATCGACCAATGTCCTCCAGAGAACTTCTCAGTGAGGAAGCCCTGAGCTTCAGAGCAGTCTCTAGAGACAAGCCGGGGTCTGCGGGAGCTGTGAATGAGGTAAAGCCCTGTTAATAATCAGCAGAACTAACACCCGCCAGGCTGTAATCCGTGGCGGAGGCCCTGACGCACACAGATTCTTTGTTCCTCGTGATTCTACTGTTGATTTTTCTGTCTCACACGCAGACCAGATCAGAAGATCCGGATCTGAATCTAGCGCTGCAATCTTTGTGGAGTGAAGGTCTATGAATCTGCTGAATGGCTCTCTAGGTCCGACTAGAACCTCTGGGAATGATTCTGTGCTGATGGGAGCATCATCTCAGAGGCCTCCACCTCACCACTAAAAGAGTCAGTGATCAGACCAGTGGCCATCGAGAGGCCTGGGTGTGCAGCAGGTGTACCATGTAAGCGATGACATCGTAGCCCTGCTCTCGGAGCCAGACCAGAATACAGGACGTGTCCAGGCCGCCGCTGTACGCCAGGACCACCAGACCCTTCGACATCTCGAAGATCACAGGGAGCAGCTGCAGCAGACGTGAGGAGACAGATCAGCATCAGCATCACATGCAGCTCTGATTACGTCACAAATACTCAAAAGTTTATCTCAGTACGGAACAAAGTACAGAAAAAAAGTACACTTAGACATTAAATCAATGCCGTTTTCTGGATTTCGTGATCATTTCCAGCTCTAATAATCGAATCGCTCGTTTCAAGTGTTCAGAAGAAATTCCAGGCTTCAGAAGTTTACTTTCTAAAGCGAACACCACACATTTTGATTTTAACTGGGCCTGAATAAAAATAAAAAACATTTTTAATATGTTTAAGTAAAATTCATTTTTGAATAAGAATAAACAGTCACCTCCTTATTCCATGAAAGTCCTTCGTACCGAGAAAAGACGGTTAGAACTTGTAAAGAGCTCAAACTTACCTAAAACCAACAGCAACGTGGAGGCGTTTAAACTGGAATAACATGAACGCTTTCGGACGCGCCTCCAGACTTCAGTGCGTGCGTGCGTGCGCGCACCCGACAGCTCTTGAACCCGCCCCCTCAGCAGCCAATTGGCGTGAGGGCTTCTCGAAGCGGAGGAGCGCAGAGCCAATCCGACAAGAGAACGCAACAACGAACGTACGCGTTTAATTACTTTTACTAACAAACTGAAATTTTCTTCGGCTCCTCTGGCAAATATCTCCAATAAATTTTTACTAAAGCAGCAACAAAAAAAAAGCATCAAAACTCATGAAAAGGAGGGGACATCATGTGAAACACGCTATAATCATCAGAATCCTTCCAGGGATTCCTGTCGATCAGAGAACTGTGTTTGTGACCTCACAATCCCCTGGCTTCTTGTCAACCTACCCATCATTATCTAGCTGTGGCTTATCTTTAGCTATTTGCTAAAATCACTCAATGGGTCACTGCATCGACAGCAGATTGATTTAAATATTATACTAAAGCTTTTATTGCTATAGGAAGCTCCTTTGTCACTTATTTTAAACAAAATAAAATAAACATGTTTACACATTTCCTGTTACATTATGTTAATAAATTCATAATGTGGAAGAGATTAAAAAAAATTATATTTTAGCAACCATTTAAAATTGATATAGAGCTATCAAAAAAGAGGAAGTGAATTTGTGACAGGACCATTAAACACAATCAGATCTCGTGTTGCAATCGATGGAGCACAGCTCGCTGATCGCTGCTCAGACTCAAAGATTCTTCACATGTTTCAGAGATATTTAAACTTTATTGTTTGCCGTTGACTTTGGCGACTGCTTTGAAGCCGTTTCTCTTTTTACTCTTCTTGAATCTCTTACTGAAAGTGCTGGACTGCACCTGAGGAGAAAGCAGAGACATTATCATCTCAGCGACTCGCAAACACAACCTCAGGAGGAACATTTCCAAAAACAGAAGACGAAGAAAATGACGGGGGGATTGAAGCAGGGAAAGGAACAGTAAGATTTTCTTCATGGGGAAGAAAAGGAGAACTGAGAATGAGAGAAAGAAAAGTGAAGAGAGGGAAGAGAGAACGAAGAGATGACGGACCTTCCTTCTTTTCTGAACCTGAGGTTCTACTTCCATTGCTGCCTCCTCCTCATCATCATCATCATCATCACTCAGGAAGTCATCTTCCTCCTGCTGGAGCTTCTGCTCGTCCTCTTCAGGTTTCTTCGGAGTAAAGAGAGACGCTGAGAGAGAGAGCGAGAGAGAGAGAGAGAGAGGAGTCATCTGATCTGAAACGACTTCCTCTTTTGATGCTTTTAATGTGTTTCGTATTGTTTTAAATCAAATTGGCATTTAAATTAATGAAAATAAAATTTGTAAAATAATTGACAAAACAATACAGTAAAAAAGTAACATATTAATAATAAGTTTAATATTAATATTTTATCAGTAAAAAATGTATATATTAGATTCTAGCACTGACTCCAAGTCAGTATCGACAAATAATTACAACCCATGAGTGAAATGATCTTTCGTGAGGTTTCAAACTCACGAGGATAGAGGTCGGAGAGGCTCTCCTTGTCAGTGTCCTTCTCCTCTTCCTCGCTGGAGCAGGGAGCGCAGACACCGCTGTCCTCCTCCGTTCCTCCGGCACTCTTGCGCTGTGGGTCCTGATCTCGCCGTGGTGTTCTTTTCCGGAGCCGCTGCGGGATGAACTGCAGGCCCTGAGCCTCACACCGCTGGTCTGAGCACACAGCAAGAGGAGAGGATTCACTTCCTGTCTGCGCTCACCTCCCTACAGCTCCCCCGGGATACTCACACTCCTGCAGAGCTCTCTGGTAGCGCTTGCCGTTCACGTGGCGCAGCACATCCTCCGGGAAGCGTTTGATGGTACTCAGCGTCAGGTCACAGGTTAGATGACTGCGGGACAATAACAAAAACAACTGATCACGGAGTTCAAGAGCTGACTGGAGGTCAGTCTGGGCGCTTTACTCACTACTTGGTGCTGCGGTAGATGTGGGGCTCGAACTGAGCGTAGTCGAACCCCTCCGCCTCCTGAAGCTTCCTGAACTTGGCTCCACTGGTGAAGAGCTGGAGCTGCGGGAGGCTGCAGGGGAACTCGTGACCGTTCAGGGAGCACTTGATCTGCGGAAACAGCAAAGCCCAGGAAACATCATGAACCTTCTGCCCAAGCAACAGTTCCCACAGATGGCATCACAGAAGCATTCAACACTTTAATGTCGTTACTTCCACAGCAATGCCATTAAAAAAGCCCAAGTGTTTCATTAAAAACGCTGAATCCAACGGTTCGCGTTTCCATCAGAAATATCTCCAGCCCCCGTTAACCCCGTGTTTGAGAGAAGGAGACCTTTTGGGAGTCTGTGAGCTGAAAACAGGGGTTCTCCTTCAGAAAGAGCTGCAGGTCTTCGGGTAAATGCTCCATTTGTCAAACCGGAAGCTGAGACGTTAAACACAACTCTGTTTGTGACAAAACATCGACAAAAACTAAATCTCGGACGAAAAGAAAACCGCTGCTGTTTTGCAGCACATGTAAATTGCAGTGCGACACTTCGAAGTGAACTACAAATTGACGTCATATAAAGACGACGAGAACAGACGCGACAGCTGTCTGTGACAATGCCAGAATTATTCATTAATAAAAAAAACAAAAAACAAAAACTAGACCTTTAATGTTGAAGATATATTGTTGTACTAAATGAGTAATAAAGTATTTAGAGTGGAGTATTTTGTGATCACAACTAATATTACTCACTAATATTCGATGAGAGAATAAAAATGTTTCAAATACCTTGGCTTCCATGTACTGTTGATCAATATTTCAATTTATATTGTGAGGAAACAGAGGTTGCATTTGTAATTCTGATCAGGCGCATTTGGAGGAGGCCGCGGTCAGCTGATTGTGATCTGGTCTGTTACCTTCATCAATAAAGTACCTTCAGAAACACAAACAGCGCTATCTTTTTATACTAATGATTGTAGATTGAGCATGTCTGGACCAAATGGAGACCCTGATATTTCAGCGGATAACGGAATAATCGAGGACGATGACGAATTTAATGAAGAAGGTTCTGGAGTTTATTTTCTCATATCTTTGCTGC